ATACATTTCAGTCTTTTCTTTTTTTTTTTAATTCAATACGCTTCCGGTGATAAACAGGATAATGTTTTTTTCATATTTCCGTATTGCATTTCTGTTATTTTACAGGTTTTTTTTTTTATTTATATTTGGCTGGTTTTTCCGAAAACGTGTTGGTCTTCAGAAATTTTAAAGTATGCAAATACAGTTTCCGAGGAATATTTTAACATTCGTTAATTCCTTTTGTCTGATTATTTCTGAATTTAATCACGATCAAACATCCAAGCGAACTTAAGACTTTCTATCATGATTATGAGACTAGGCCGCAAGGACCTGAGACGGTATTCAATAAAAATTACACTTTTTCATAGTATTCGATTTTATATCTAAACCTAGTCTAAACAAGTCAATATATGTCCACATGCACATAGCATGTTCTCGGGTATATGTGGACTTGACATCGACAATGTGACGTCAATTACTATTTTCTAGCGTTTTGTTGTTTACTTGCTGTGTTTCTCGGTCTGTGTCTATCGACATGTTCATGTTTAAGCCGAGACTCCTTATCCTTAAAATATTTAGTGGTTAACTGACATTGAACAACTTCTGGGAGGACCGTCATATGCTATCCAAAGCAATGTGAATAAAATGTTATACACAAGGACACAACCGCGAAAAGGCAGGATAAGATTTTATTTTGCTAAGAACAATGGCCGCTTCTAGCAATTTTCACATGACGTATCGATGTCTGATGTTTTATTGACTACTCTATCACCTCCTCCACAAGTATCTTAATACGTTTACTAACAGGGCATTCACGCGTGGCATTATGGGTAAAATAGGGACGTTAACATCACTGGTAATGAAAAATATAGAAAAGTTATCTAATAACAGCATTCTATGGTGGAATATCCGACAGTATCCGACGATGTCACATTCTTACAAAAAAGTTATGGTAAAATTTGAAATCGATGGCACAGTGATATCATCAAATTTAAAACGAATCAGAAAATTATTTCGCGTGCCATATAACGATCTTGTTGCTTTTCCGGAAGTTCCCTCAATAATATATGGATTATTTTTAAATTTGTTTTTCCGGGGAAATTTTCGAAGGCGTCAAGTGTACATATATCGATGAAAATCCTTTCAGTTAAATATGAAATAAAAATATGTACATATAGATAATGGTTATTTCAAAAGGAAGTCTAAGAGTGTACACATATATTTTGTCGAATCGGATTTGAACAGCACAGAATTATTGATGAAATGACATTTTTGTGTGCTGACTGTTGGATTCAAAACCAACAACTCGCTCTGTGCTGATCTGATCCATTGCAAGAAGACAAATATTGAAATTTACAGTTTTTGCTTTGCTTAGCTCACATGAAATGTAAAATAAACGTTGGTAAACTGACAAATGAGCGACATTCATATATAGCATGATAAAACGGCATTACCTCTAGAGTGTCAGGGATTTAATTAGTACCATCAGATAAAAACCTGTCAGTTTCCGCAAGATGTGTCAGATGATAAATCCATAAAATCCTTACAAAATGGGTGTACTTTTTTGCTCAAACATTGTGAAATAATGTTCCGATATCTAGAATTAATGAGAAGATTGCGATAAAGTTATCGAAATTACATCACCAGGAATTTTCGGTTTTGGGTAATTATAAAGCATTTCTGCGGGATACAGAAGAAAGTCATTATTATTATCTGTCGTTCCCCGATTTTCGTGATGAATTTGTTTCTACAGTAAATATACTGTCTAGAAGTAAAAACATCACTACGTACAATTAACATGTTTTGAGCAAAAATATTGGTTCTTGAAGTTTTATCACGACAATGTGAATTTTTTATCGTGAATTACTTATCGTAAAAGTTCGTGTTCGCAGAATATCTATTATTCATATGAAAACAAGAACAAAGGAAGAAATTGCAGGAAAGAAATTGTAAGAATGAAAGATGAGGAAATAAACAAATACACGTGAACCTAAAGAGTCACCTGACTAAAAGTCTTATCTATTACATGACAACAAAAGAGGAAGCGGGAACTATTGTCAAACAATTATGAGTGGTAAGGGTAACAAAAATCTTCATTTCTTCATTTCAGTTTTTCAACATTTAAACAAATTTTATCTCAATGCAGACAATGGTACCAGTGGGACAAGAGAAGACAATTAAAACGTGATATTCAAAATGGCGGCCATATTGGAATTCTGACTGACCTGGAAAATGATAACATATGGTCAAGTCGATCTAAGGATCATTTCAGGCAAGCTTGAGCTTAATTCCGCAAGTAGAAAAGAATCCGGAAATATGATAATTATGACGCACGGCGGACGGCGGACGACGGACGACGGACGGCGGACGCGCACGAAAACGAACGAAATGCAATGATTGTCATCTTGATATTTTCAGTCAGCTGACCTAAAATTCTTTATTTCAGGTTGATACAACGGAAAATATTCGATATTTTTATAAGCTGTTTTGAAAAAAAAAATTCGTGGTAATTAGTGAGCCATTGAAGTACCATATAAATTAAGATTTGCAATTCGGAGTTGACAATAAATATATTATCAAAATTCAACGTTTTACTCTGTGTCAGTAATATTAAGACACCATTATATTAGAAAAGTGAAAAAATCAATCTATTAAAATTCTTAAACCGATTCTAAACAGACCACAATAAAATCCCATCACACTGTTTAATTGTGTTTTGTGCAATATGAACTCATGCAATTATGACACACACAATACATGTCTTTTTAAGATAAACCTGAAAAGGTGAAAGCGCTAGACAACAGTTTGTCTTATTTTTTAATTTCTATATTTTGCACTTTCACGTGACTTTTTAATAAACTTTGCATCTTTGCTCAATATTTTAGTGTAGTATGATACAGGCGGTATCTCTTTATGAAAGCAAATGGCAGCACACTACGAAATAGAACTAACCCTAGACGAGACAAGTGGAGAGTGCTGTCCGAGTTCAACACGCCTCAAAACACGATCCTTGATAACGACTTCCTGTGATTTGTCTGTCCCGCCTGACCGATTGTTACTGTAGTCAATGAAAGTTGCCAATTATCTATATTGAAAGATAGATTTAGGTTCGCGTGCGGTTTACCGGCGCCATGTTGGTCAGTAACCGGAAGTGACTAAAGTAAAATGTCGGAAAGTATGTGGCGAAAATAGCAGCTAAGGGTATGTCTGATACAAATTGAGTATGGACATAAATGTCTAAACCAGACTAACTAACTCGTACACTTGACATTTTCTAGATTAATTCCGAAAGGCATCACATATATTCAGTTGCGAAGAAAAAAATTAAAAAGCATTTTATTAGTCTGTCGAGGGCGAAAGTGCGAAAACGTAATGTGTTCTTGTGTCTAAACAAGAAGGTGTGAGGGAGTGAGGACACGATGACAGAGATGAACAAAACGAATATTTGCTCTGTCATTGTTTTTCGCTCGCTTCCTTGCTTCCTCGTCATGATGTTTTCCCTTTTTCACTACGGCGTTTTCGTGTTTTCGCAACTACGTTTTTGCTTTCTCTCCTACCTCGTTGACCTGTTTTCGATCCCTCTCTACCTCGCTATCGAGATTTTGTCCCTTCTCTACCTCGCTATCGTGAATTTGTCCCCTCTCTACCTCGCTATCGTGATTTTGCCCCCTCTCTACCTCGCTATCGAGATTTTTTCCCCTCTCTACCTCGCTATCGTGATTTTACCCCCTCTCTACCTCACTATCGTGAATTTGTCCCCTCTCTACCTCGCTATCGAGATTTTTTCCCCTCTCTACCTCGCTATCGAGATTTTTTCCCCTCTCTACCTCGCTATCGTGATTTTGCCCCCTCTCTACCTCACTATCGTGAATTTGTCCCCTCTCTACCTCGCTATCGTGATTTTACCCCCTCTCTACCTCACTATCGTGAATTTGTCCCCTCTCTACCTCGCTATCGAGATTTTTTCCCCTCTCTACCTCGCTATCGAGATTTTTTCCCCTCTCTACCTCGCTATCGTGATTTTGCCCCCTCTCTACCTCACTATCGTGAATTTGTCCCCTCTCTACCTCGCTATCGTGATTTTGCCCCCTCTCTACCTCACTATCGTGAATTTGTCCCCTCTCTACCTCGCTATCGAGATTTTTTCCCCTCTCTACCTCGCTATCGAGATTTTTCCCCTCTCTACCTCGCTTTCGTGATTTTGCTCCCTCTCTACCTCGCTTTCGTGATTCTTGCTTTCTCTCTACCTCGTTATCCTGTTTTCGCCCCCTCTTTACCTCGCTATCGTGAATTTGCTCCCTCTCTACCTTGCTATCGAGATTTTGCTTTCTTTGCTTTCTCTCAACCTCGTCATCCTGTTTTCGCCCCCTCTTTACCTCGCTATCGTGAATTTGCCCCCTCTCTACCTTGCTATCGAGATTTTGCTTTCTTTGCTTTCTCTCAACCTCGTCATCCTGTTTTCGCTCCCTCTTTAGCTCGCTATCGTGATTTTGCCCCCTCTCTACCTCGCTATCGAGATTTTGTCCCCTCTCAACCTCGTTTTCGTTTTTTTGTTTTTTTTTCTACCTCGCTATCGTGAATTTGTCCCCTTCCTTCCTCACTGTCGTGATTTTTTCCCCTCTTTACCTCACTATCGCAATTTTGTCCCCTCTCTACCTCGCTATCGTGAATTTGTCCCCTCTGTACCTCGCTATCGTGAATTTGCCCCCTCTCTACCTCGCTATCGTGATTTTGCCCCTCTCTACCTCGTTATCGTGTTTTCTCTCCCTCATTTCTTTGTTATCGTGTTTTCCCTGCTATCCTCCCTTCCTATATCGCTTCTTAGCATTTAGATCGATAACAAGAAGGGATAATAGTTGATATTTAATCTACGCGACACATCAAAATTTAACAACTATAGTTTTTTTATATCACATGAGCTGGTATTTGTTCGGCTTTGCCCTTTTGCGTGTTTCTTTGTTTCATTATTAACCACCATGACATTAGGATGTATGTGTAGAACAAGGATGTGGTATACTTACGGCGTACGGTATGTGACTGACCAGTCCACTGCAGAGAATCCAGACAAGCACCAGGCGACAAACGTCCCAGGCAAACGTCAGCTGGTGGTACCGTTCGTGTATCGTATAAGTACCAGCCCCAGGGACACCAGATCTTTTCTTGGGGAGATAAAACCTCCCAGCACCATATTTCACTAAAGCAACACGTCTGACGTACTTCAACAAAACTGTCGCGTCACACACACAAATTATTGAGAACACAACACAAGCAAACACAAGCACTCCTATTACAACCGCCATCCCTTCGCCAAGATCGCTGCTGAGAAAGTAGCATTTTCCGTCCGAATGGAATGACTGTGGGACGGCCCCTATTATTGGCAACAGCCCCAGCACCGCCGATAGACCCCATACTGTCGGGACGACCCCTTTTATAATTGACGTAAATCGTATCCTTTTCCCTTTTGCCGAATATTTCATAATTGCCGACCACAAGACGGACAGGCACAGTGTAGTAAGAACCTGCGAAACTCTTAAGCTGATAAACGCCCAAACATAAAATTGGCACAGACTATCCGGCCACTTGTTTCCTGTCATTTCCACAATTGCTGGAACAGCCGGAAGCAGGAGGCCATTGATAGACATCGCAACAGCGTATGAGAGAAATAGAATATCTGATCCGTGATGAAACGGCGTGTAATGTAAAATGACAACAGCGGTTATGATACCAATTATGCCAGCAAGGGGAGATAATACTAGCCACAGAACGTTGGTCACAAATTTAGACATCGTTGCGACATGCTCGCCACAAACACGATTTCCCCTTTGACATTTACTCTCCGCTAACGCTACTTTATCTTGCCACACATAGATACCATCTTGTCGTTCGCGGAAGGACGCTAATGGTACCCTTGATTAATCCTCTGCTATGAATAAAACATCACTCTGAACTTCCGGTGAAGACGGTTGAACACATCCATGCGACTATCAAACAGATTTTGTGTATTACTCCGCACACAAGGAAATGCCTCCGCTACGTGTACATATATTTGCTGTTCTTCTGATGACTGACTAAAATCTCGAGATGCGATGGACTTCATTTCCTGGGAATTCTACAATCTCAGATAGAATTCCGATATAATGCTTAGGAGGTTTAACAGACAATAAACATTTGTACGTAGCTATCCAATTTGATGGTCTTTTTACTGGAAAATGTGAACACATTGCCTGGTACGGCTGACAGGATGTTCTCTCTGTTAAGACCTGAAAATATTAAATGTAATCTTAAAAGTGTTAACGACTCGAAAGACTAATTAGTACAATAATTCTGCGCTGATGATTCGCCGTCTTAAAATACATACTTATGTGATTGTATCAACAACACACTATTGTGTTTACATTATAATTGTAAATAATAAACAATATCAGTTAGACCTCTGTCCCTCATAAGTTCTCCTGTGCTATAAAGTGCATTTAATCTTACATGTACTTGGTATAATTGATGATGTGGCAATTGGTAACCTATCCCAGATCCTACACGTTCAAACAACAAAACTGACAATAACAACGATGACTTATTCATGCGCCTATTTTCAACATGGCGTCTTTCAGTAGAGTCACAAAACAATCACCTGATATTTTGATAAGAAGTTTGAAAACCCCGAAAAAGCAAGCTGAACTCATTGAAAAAACTGCGTATTTGTTCTCCTTTCTCCACTTGATCTCGTGATCGTGACCAGGTTTATATATTGCCTTAACTAAAGGCTGTGTTTGATAACATCTGTCTTGAAGCACGTGGTCCATCCGCCATTGTTGGTAATCAATTATTAAAAACGGCTCGTACCTACACTGCCGGGCAATAAAAAGCCGAACAAATATCTCTCTCATAGGTAACATCAACGTGTCATAAGTAAATGTAATCAATGCAAATCGATCAGCCCCATAAAGGTCAAAGGTCAACTATACATACACGTGGTTGTGTTGATCTACAGTCACGTTTAAATGACTTTTCAACCTACTGTTGTGAATTGTATATTTATACACAAAGACCTGTATGTTTAATTTTAAATGATTTCTAAATATATTAAGCAATTTTTTCTTGGTTGAAGTACCTGTAAAATCAACAAACCGCGGATTTAAAGATAATTTCGGGTGTATGATATCATCAAACGGATTATCTGAACCGAACAATGAGTCACTGAAGCACGGATAATTAGTGTGGGACATTAAGCATTACGCCAGTAGCCAGTAGCCATCGGGTTCTTGTGTGGCCACTGAAATCAATTGTACTCACGCGACATGTACGTTTCATTCAATCAAGGATTTTCTTTTTAATCGAAATTCTCTTTTTTTCCCCTGCGACCACACACGTCTAACTTTCCATTTCTTCTTCTTTCTTGTCTAAATTTTACTGTCCTATTTAGCCGGTAACATATCTCTCTCTGTCTCTCTCTGTCTCTGTCTCTCTGTGTTTCTGTGTCTCTCTGTGTCTCTCTGTCTCTCTCTGTCTGTCTCTCTCTCTATCTCTGTCTCTGTCTCTGCCTCTGTCTCTGTCTGTCTCTCTCTCTCTCTCTCTCTCTCTCTCTCTCTCTCTCTCTCTCTCTCTCTCTCTCTCTCTCTCTCTCTCTCTCTCTCTCTCTCTCTCTCTCTCTCTCTCTCTCTCTCTCTCTCTCTCTCTCTCTCTGTCTCTGTCTCTGTCTCTCTGTCTCTCTCTCTCTGTCTCTGTCTGTCTCTCTCTGTCTCTCTGTGTCTCTGTGTCTTTCTGTGTCTCTGTGTCTCTCTCTCTATCTCTCTCTCTCTGTCTCTGTCTGTCTCTGTCTTTCTCTGTCTCTGTCTGTCTCTGTCTCTCTCTCTCTCTCTGTCTCTCTCTCTCTCTCTCTGTCTCTCTCTCCCTGTCTCTGTCTCTCTCTCTGTCTCTCTCCCCTCTCTGTCTCTCTCTGTGTCTCTCTCCCCTCTCTGTCTCTCTCTCTCTTTGCTATTTATCTGCACCAATAGTATGATAATTCATTTTCTTTTTTTGTGCGCTTCTCTCTGTCGTGTAACTTTCGTATCTGGTGTATACTTTATATGTCTATTTCTCTCAATCCTATTTTTCTGTCACCGTATACATCCCACATCCCTTTTCCTTAAACTCCTCTCATCATTGAAATGACTTATATATATATTCTTCCCTCCCCTCTCCACCTCCTTTTTTTCTATTTTCAATATCTTATAGACATTGACCTTGATTGAAATATAATATATATCGTCATAATCTCATCACTGCCTTAATATCGCCCCCTCCCCCGCAACCCAATCCCCCCTCCCAGCCCCAAACGTCCTTAAACATTTAGTGCATATTATAATTCATTATATTTAACAATTTTATCCTAATTCTATGTTCCGTCATTTCAATAGACAATGAGATTGACTAGCGTGATATCGTGTTCTGTAATATCTGATGTCACAAAGGATGTTAATGCTCCATTTTGTAGTTAAACCGACTACACGTGCCAACTTGCTAATTACTAGAGTGGTGTCGCTGTGTGTTGTTACCCAAGAGGCAGGGCTGGACGTGATGATACCTAAATAGCTCGCGACATAAAAATCACGTGGACGTAATCGCCCAGAGTCAGAACTGCATATTGTATCAACGAGTCCTTGTATACACGTTAACTTAACACCTTGTATAGAGAAGTATTTAAAAACAAAAGTCGAACACTATCAATTCTATCCATCATTTTTTTAAACTTTTAAATAGACAGCCATGCAATATATACATGTTATATACCTGTACACATGTGTTACATACACTTTTTATTTTCTGTATACACACATGAAACACTTGTTATATATACTAATACCTGTACCCATGTGTAATACATCGTACTGAAGTATGATACACTCGTTACGTGTTTTGTACATGTATATCCGTGTGACACATACATGTTATATACCTGTACTGACGTGTAATACACACCTGTTATATACCTGTACTGACGTGTAATACACACCTGTTATATACCTGTACTGACGTGTAATACACACCTGTTATATACCTGTACTGACGTGTAATACACACCTGTTATATACCTGTACTGATGTGTAATACACACCTGTTATATACCTGTACACACGTGTAATACACACCTGTTATATACCTGTACTGATGTGTAATACACACCTGTTATATACCTGTACTGACGTGTAATACACACCTGTTATATACCTGTACTGATGTGTAATACACACCTGTTATATACCTGTACACACGTGTAATATACACCTGTTATATACCTGTACACACGTGTAATACACACCTGTTATATACCTGTACTGACATGTAATATACACCTGTTATATACCTGTACACACGTGTAATATACACCTGTTATATACCTGTACTGACGTGTAAAATAAACCTGTTATATACCTGTACACACGTGTAATATACACCTGTTATATACCTGTACTGACGTGTAATATACACCTGTTATATACCTGTACTGACGTGTAATATGCACCTGTTATATACCTGTACTGACGTGTAATACACACCTGTTATATACTTGTACTGACGTGTAATTTACACCTGTTATATACCTGTACTGACGTGTAATATACACCTGTTATATACCTGTACTGACGTGTAATACACACCTGTTATATACCTGTACACACGTGTAATATACACCTGTTATATACCTGTACTGACGTGTAATATACACCTGTTATATACCTGTACACACGTGTAATATACACCTGTTATATACCTGTACTGACGTGTAATATACATCTGTAATATACCTGTGCTGACGTGTAATATACACCTGTTATATACCTGTACACACGTGTAATACACACCTGTTATATACCTGTAATGACGTGTAATACACACCTGTTATATACCTGTAATAACGTGTAATACACACCTGTTATATACCTGTAATGACGTGTAATACACACCTGTTATATACCTGTAATGACGTGTAATACACACCTGTTATATACCTGTAATGACGTGTAATACACACCTGTTATATACCTGTACTGACGTGTAATACACACCTGTTATATACCTGTAATGACGTGTAATACACACCTGTTATATACCTGTAATGACGTGTAATACACACCTGTTATATACCTGTACTGACGTGTAATACACACCTGTTATATACCTGTAATGACGTGTAATACACACCTGTTATATACCTGTAATGACGTGTAATACACACCTGTTATATACCTGTACTGACGTGTAATATACACCTGTTATATACCTGTACACACGTGTAATACACACCTGTTATATACCTGTACTGACGTGTAATACACACCTGTTATATACCTGTAATGACGTGTAATACACACCTGTTATATACCTGTACTGACGTGTAATACACACCTGTTATATACCTGTACTGACATGTAATACACACCTGTTATATACCTGTACTGACGTGTAATACACACCTGTTATATACCTGTAATGACGTGTAATACACACCTGTTATATACCTGTAATGACGTGTAATACACACCTGTTATATACCTGTACTGACATGTAATACACACCTGTTATATACCTGTACTGACGTGTAATATACACCTGTTATATACCTGTACTGACGTGTAATATACACCTGTTATATACCTGTACACACGTGTAATATATACCTGTTATATACCTGTACACATGTGTAATATACATCTGTTATATACCTGTGCTGACGTGTAATATACACCTGTTATATACCTGTACACACGTGTAATACACACCTGTTATATACCTGTACTGACGTGTAATA